CTTGAGCTAATCTGAAGGCCACATGAAGTTTGGAGGTCTGTAGTGATTGACTCTGCAGAAAGTTGGCGACCTCTTCGCACTATGCGCGTCAGCATCCGCTGACCCCGCTCCGTCAGTTTACGTGGCCTACCTCTTCGTGGCTGAGTTGCTGTCGTTCCCAAACACTTCCATTTTCTTATAATACAGCTGACAGTTGACTGTGGAATATTTAGGAGCGAGGAAATTTCACGACTGGATTTGTTGCACAGGTGGCATCCTATCACAGTTCCACGCTGGAATTCACTGAGCTCCTGAGAGCGACCCATTCTTTCACAAATGTTTGTAAAAACAGTCTGCATGCCTAGGTGCTTGAATTTATACACCTGTGGCCATGGAAGTGATTGGAACACCTGATTCCAATAATTTGGATGGGTGAGCAAATACTTTTGGCAATATAGTGTATGTCATCTGAAGGCATTTTACAGAGGCAATTCAACCAGATCATACAGTCAGATTGATTCAAAGTTTTCTATCTAAGGAAAACCATCTGATTGGATTGACTCATTTCTTCGAAGGCAATCCCTCACACCAAGCATGCTTGCAGCGACAGTGGAGAGAAAAACTCCCTTTTGACAGGAAGAAACCTCCAGCAGAATCAGGCTCAGTGTGAGCGGCCATCAGCTGAGGCCGACTTAGGTTCAAGGAGACAGAAGCATAGATACAGAAAGAAGCAGGGATGCTGCCCTCTGGGAAGAGGCTTTGCAGCATCTGCTGCAGGACCAGCAGATTCTGCAACAGCTTTTTCCCCACCGCCATCAGATTGCTGAACTGTTGAAAAAACTCTAAATCAAGTCACAGACTCTGCATCACACTGATAAGACCACACAGAAATACTGCATATTTGCTCCAAATATATTTGTCTTGAAAGGCTCTGAACTTCCATATCATGCATTTTTACACCATGTTTTTTTCTCCTACACTGTTTACATTCGATCAGTGCTGCACTTTATGGAATGGAAATGTTCATTTCACTAAGCTGCTGCTCAATTAATGTCTGACAAAATTTAGTTTTGTATACACTGTGTATACAAAAGGACAATAAAAGTTGTCTAAGTTTGATAAAACATTGGTAAAATTGCAGTTCAGGGTTGCTGAACTTCCTGTTATTTATTTCTATCTTGATATTTTCTGTTCATAGTCTTTACTATCTTAATGTTGGGCTTAATGTTCTATGTCGCAGGGGGAAAAGTGAGAAAACCATATTTCAGTTTCTGTATGTGTACTGTATATATAGATAAAATTGACAAGAAAAAACTTGAATGGGAAATCTTGAATTTAGATGTCGTCTGTCAAAGTTTATGTAATCCTCGAATGCGACAGTGCTCCTCTTTCTGATGTTATTTTTGCTAAAACTTCCTTTGATTGAGTTTGTGAAGTATTCACATGCACCACTTCTTTAAACCATTGAACATTTTCCTACCATGGTTTGGTTTAAATAAAGTAATTTCTGTTCATTAATTCAGATTAAAGAAATAACCCAGCTATAATTTATTTCAGTTATTTATTCAGCTGTGTTCAAATGGTTGCATAACAGGAGCTTGAGATGAATGTCGGGGAACCGTTGTGGGACGGCTGAATCCCATAATGCTATGATTCTTCAACTCACTGCTGGTAAGAAAGTCTTCTGGTTACACTTGCTTTCAAGAAAAATTGAATAGATGGAAGATAAACTCTTCTTGTAAAATAAAAAAGGTGGTAAGCACTAGTTTGTACTAAAATGGTGAAATGTGTAAACATTTGAGACAGCTTTGAGACGTTTTCTGTAAAAAAAGAAAAAAAAAGGGGGGGGAAGCTGCAAAGGCTTTAGATTTAATACCAGGAAGTCAAACGTTGGTCACTTCTCATTTTTATTTACTAGGAAAATATTTTCTATTAAATCTCACTCAACAGAATCGAAGACCTAGAAGCTAATAACTAACCTTTATATACCTATAGCCTACATAATGTCAAGTTTATAGTATTCAGTGACAGAAATGACCTTAGAATAATCCCACTCACACTGCTATTAATATCTTTTCACTCTAATAGTCTTTCATGATATTTTTTGATGACAGGAACAGAAAGAATATTGAATAACAGCTTTTGCCCAGAAAAATAAAATATTCACCACCAGTGACCATTAAACTGGTTAAATAGCTGTACAATATTTCTGATGTAGCAAAAGGAAAAATCTGAGAAAAATCGCCTGGCAAGTGAACACTGTAGGAAGTCCCATTCTTGTGACTCATCCTCAGTCAGAATTCATCAAAGTTTGATTTTTCATCATTTTCTTTCTGTCTATGTTCAAGATGAGGAGATAAAAGCTGTCAATCACATATATACGAATAAATATAAAATAAAAGTTAATGTTTAAATCTATAAACTCTATATTGACACAACAGAATAAACACAGAGACTCGTTCCTCTTTGTGAAAGACTGAGACTTACTGGTCTTGTTTTGCTAAAATTAAGCATCAGCTCGGCCTTGTTAGCCAACTTGAATTGCAAATGTCTTATTTACATTTTTGTCATTTAGACTTAAAATTAGCATTTCTCCTATTTACTCTGCCATCTCATTCCGATTTTCTTCAAAAAAGGGATTTCATTCAGCTCCCGCAGGAAAAAAGCTATTAATTAAATAAGAAAATAGGCTTTGCTGCAACTCTGATGCTATAAATCAGTAATGTCATGGCTGTCATTAAAACGTACTGTGGCAAGAAGGCTGCTGCCACATAACATTCAGCTTTTTACTTAGACATCCTATGAACATGTAGGAGCCTCTAAATGAACAGAAACGTCTAAAAATCAAAGCATGATTGAATCACTACGGATTATGTAAAAGTAATAATGTATTATTGTAGATTTGTTTTAATCCATCATAAATTAAATATTATAAGGCTGCAAGTTATGTCTAATAAAGCATTGATCTGGTACTTAAATATTATGCTGCATTAACTCATTGTGCAAGTGCCCTTTTTAAAAAAAAAATCAGTCAACGGGGCTTACTCTGTGACTGACCTACTTAAGCCACTTCAAGTAATATTACTCATATAAAAGATATGTTTGAATAATGTTTTATCAATGCAGTTTACTAAAACTGCATGCCTCTGCTTGCAGGAGAGATGGGTTTTTTTTTAAGTCAAGATGCCAAGAAGCACTCTGAGCTGCACCAAAAACTGCAGTTATCAATTTCAAAATAAAAGCTCGCCCTTGAGTACGAGAACTGAGCATACTGTAGTAAAAGTAGAAGTGTATTAGTTTTTGAATCTCTAAAAGTATTATAAAGTTCAATATGTATTCAGTACATGTTGATAAGAAGCATGTGAGGTAAGCAAAATGACAACTTTGTCTCTCTTTAAATAATAAGAAGATGACACAAAGTTTCCTAAGGTATATCTACAACCAGTAATGCATTGTATTCATCAAACAAGTTTTTTGGTGTTTAAATTGAGCTCCCATCCTTAAATATACATACCGTATTTAGTTTAGTTTTTTATTTTTATATATGATACTAACTTATTTCTGAAGTACTACAACATAGAGGCTGATCAAAGTGCTATACAAAAAACATAATATTAGGCATAGTTCATTCACTGCTAAAATACAGTTTGTCGTTTTCAGGGGGTCTCTTTTTCTCCTTAAGCTTATGCATTTCTACTTTCCTTATGTAATGATGAAGATGCATCTGCTTTATTTTGCATTCTACTTGATTGACTACTTGACTAAATGACCTAGAATGCAATTTTGAACTTGTCAAGTTGTCAATTTTGAACTTGTCAAGAGGCAATTGTAATTGTATATATGTAATTTTTTTTCTATCTATGCTAAAGGTAGAAAGATTACGCATATTCTACTTTTCAGTTTGATTCACTTTATTTCTATATCGCCAATTCACAACACATGTCATCTCACGGCACTTTACAGTTCACCAGATCATACAGTCAAATTGATTCAAAGTTTTCTATCGACTTATTGACTCGACAGCAATCCCTCACACTAAGCATGCTTGTAGCGACAGTGGAGAGGAAAAGCTCCCTTTCAACAGGGAGAAACCTCCAGCAGAACCAGGCTCTGGCTGAGCGGCCATCCAGCAAGGCCGACTGGGGTTCAAGGAGAGAGAAGCAGAGATACAAAAAGCAACTGTAAAAGGTGGCCCCATCCAGCAAACACACAATCGGGCAGATGAGCTCTGAGCGAGCTGCCATGTCAGAGGATGAAGAGAGCACAGCCAGCCAGTCACAGTCAGAGAAACAGGACTACACTGGACAAACAGGCCGATCTCCAACATCTAAAAACAAAGGTGTTGATGGGAGCAGCACAGTTGATATTTCTCTCCACGGTGGTGTCACAGCCAAACAAGAACAGACCTGATGAAGCTACTATAAGAAAAAGCAGAGAGAGCATAACGTTAGAGATTAAACTTACAGATTCTGCAGAGTGGAAAAATAGAGACAGAATGAAGCAAAATGATGAAATATGGGTCCCTATTTCCTCCAGAAGTCTAAGCCTATAGCAGCATAACTATAGAGATAACTTGAGCCACTCTAACTATAAGCTTTACCAAAAAGGAAAGTTTTAAGCCTATCCTTAAAAGTAGACAGGGTGTCTGCCTCAAGGACTAAAACTAAATGTTAATAGGCATTACATTAATATATTATAACATGTATGCATAGGTCAGTGCACAATTAATTTAAACATGTGAAGCCAGATATTGTTATTAAAGGTGCATTTTGTGTCATAAATGCACATTAAAACTGCAGAGTGGAAGAGTAGAAATATTTGTAAGAAAGATTTACCCAACCAAAAACCGCTGTAGTTTGTGTTTCTAACGTGATAAAATTTAGAAAAAGTCGTTTTGCCAGTCCACGTATGTCTCCGTCAGACTGTTTTATTTTGAAAAAGCCAGCCGGAAATGTAGGCTCTTATCGCGAGCTTGTGGCTGCTGTTATGGAAACCAGGGTGGGAGGGGCTAACTGATGCCATTCGATTCGGGATTTGATGCGGAGATGTGATCCTCGGTGACCAGCTCATAACTCTCAGTCCTACGAGCTACTATAGCATGAAACTTTTATTTTAACCTTGCTGTTCTGTTGGCTCTCTGGAGACCTGTCATTTTAGCAAACCAGACGTTTTATTTCGCCTTTTATGTCATTTTTCCTATAAAATTAGGCCAGGCTAAACCTGTCGCTGGATACCCCCCACCTCTCTCCTTTTGGTGGGTTCTTTTTCTCCCTCCCGAGTTTAAAATCCCGGAGTTTAAAGGAACATTGAAGAGCGAGAATATCACTTTTCTGGACTTTTTTCTTCTTCTTGGGAAGATAACCACCTGCAAAGCGGCTGGAACTAATCTCTGCAACTATCAGACGGCGCATCGATGTGCCCTGCTTGCCGAATCCGGCTGCTCGGTCATCGGGTTTAGGAAGAGATTTGTGTCGGGAAGCGGTGTGGAGCACAAAGAGCTCATTAATGCCGAGCAGTCAAGTTTTTCTCCATGTGTTGACAGAGGGACTGAGGTGAGAGCAGATTTGCTTCAAGACCTTCAACGCAACACGAAGTTAGTCAACTTTTCCAGCGTGTAGCTGCTTAAAAGTGACTGCCTCCATAAAAAAAGTCTTTAAACGGCCCCGTTCCGCTTTTTTAGTTGCTGTGATTTAAAGACCGTCTGAGGATTTTGTTTCATATCAGGAACCCGCTTTAAATGCAGGCTGGTCTGCGATCAGTGAGTGAACAGCCGATCTGCCAGTGGGGTTGTAATTCACGTCCATCCATTTTTTACCACCTGGCATCAACACTATGGAGGTGATATTGAGGAGCAAGCTGCTGCTGCTGGGATACATCTTACTGTTGGACCTTGCTTTTCAGGCTGATGCAGAAGAAGGTGAGTCTGGGTTTATTTTTTATCTGCAGATGAGCAATGATACGTTTTTGTTTATTTATTTTTTGCGGTGTGTAAACAGAGCCAGTGCCTGACAGTGGTATAAGCGAAGTAAGTCTTCTGAAGGCCCTCCTGGCCAGCAGGGGGCGATATGTAGATATGAGCATATTTTAAGAGCTGTTATAAACCTAAAAAAGTGTAATTAAGCTTTAATTAACTTTGTAAAAGCTAAATATTTTTTAGGTTAATTATATCCCTTTAAACATAAGGACAACTATGTTAAACTTACAAAATTGCCTCTTTTGCCATTTTTCTGTGTGAACACACTTTTAGTTAAGTTTGCTCTTCTTCGCACTCTTTTTTTCAGAATGTCAGATTTAATCAGTTAAGGCTGGGCTGTTTTTCTTAATTTCTTTTTAATTATATGCTTTTTATTAATTATAAATCTATTTGAATTGTTCTTTTTTATTTATATAAATAATACTGGAGCAAAAAAAAGTGTATTTGGGATACAAATAAATAACAAACCTTTTTTTCAAGTGAATAGAATTCAAATGACAGAATATTTTTAAAATTTTAAACTATGAAAGTAAACAATAAACAGAAACAGGTTGAGTTGGGGCAGCTCAGTAGTACTCTGTGTTCTATTCTGCTCAGAATCCTAATCAGATTTATTCCCAAGTAGGTTTACACTTACAAGGAATTTGACTTGGTGCAGACAAAAAAAAAAATATATATATATATATATATATATATATATATATATATATATATATATATATATATATATATAAACAATGTAAAATATACAATATACTAAATACAACATAGTATATAGCTATATACTATATACACAGTAGGTTCTTTAATGTAATGCAGGATGTCTGGAGATGCTACGTTGGTGTAGCCTTAGGAAACTGGCATATTTCTTAAATCTCAAAAGAAAGACTTTTAAACTGCCGTGCAGTATAGGTTTTGCATCAGTATTTTTTTTTATCTAAGTATATTTTGATTCATAGTACCATCTCAAACCTATTTTTAATAGTTTTCATAGAAAGATATCCAATGAAGAAAACTTAATCCACCATAGGTTTTATGAGCATGTAGTGGGAACGGTACATAAGTAATTTACCAAAATCTCAGTGGAAAAGGCACAAATGTACCATAAAGACCTGGCTATAAACTTCACAAGGTGGATTATTAGTTTTATATTATTTGCCACAGTTGCCAGGAATCTTTGGGGTTTTTTTTCTACCGCTTTTAGTTGTAACACAAAGGGCCTTTCTGAGTCCACTTAAACTGGATCCCTTTCCACTTCCTGTGGGAATATTAACCATCATACCCTAAAATCAATACTAAAACATTCAGGGGCAAATACTGAGCTCGGTGAGGTTTTTATTGGGCCAGTGCAGAGAGCTGCAGCAAGCAGTAAAACATCCAACCCTCTGTAACAAATATGCGGTTTGGATTGTAATTTATGTTCATTTCTTGAAAGCCTCCGTGACATTAACAGAGAAATTGCCTCCGATCAGCTTTGTGAAGCATGTGTTCTATAATTATTTGTCATGCTGGGGAAAATAAGATTTTCAAATGGTTTGGTTATACAGGCGGGTATCGTCAGCGTAACGTTGGTGTCTGAGTAATTTGCCTAACATTAGCGTAGATAGATGAATGCCAGTGAGCTGCACTGATGAACAGAAAAGCTGGGATCATGTTTCTTTCCAAATCAGTAGCATTAAACTTTAAGACTATTGGATGGCCCTAATAGTTAGCAGCTTGGGATAATCTTGGAAGCATGCCATGGTCATAGAAGGATATCATTTATTTGTAAGATGTAATTCCTTCTCAAATATGTTTATGTATTATTTCTTCTTTTAGTCTTTAGTTTGGATTTATTCAGTTTTATAGTGTATTAAACTATGAGTGCGGCGGAGTGAAAGAAAACCTGTCTGGAGTTCAGGAATGCAGCAGGATCACCTGTCTGCAGAAACCTTTGATATGAAATGATCCTTTGGAAATAATAGGTCTGTGTTTACTGCAGATCGGATAACAAACTGCTGGGTTTCATTTAAGGGATTTTGAGCTCCAGTTTTTTTCCTTAAAGAAAACCTACTGCTGTAGGAGACACTCATGGTTCTTCTCATGTGAATGCTGCAATCTATCCACTATAGGGATTTTTCTTTCCTGTATGTTTCTCTTTATCCCTACGTGCATACGTTTCTCTGGTGATTTCCCTGCATAAGGAAGCCATTTAGGTTGCTGAAAAAATACATTTTTTTCCCCCATGAAAAAACAACGCTCTCTTCAACAATGAAAGTATGATCCCTCCACTGAAAAAGTTACTGTAAACAGGAACACAGTGAACATGCATGACTTCACATCTTGTGTGGCAGGAACACAAATCTGTCAGCTGCGTCTGGTTGGAGGATTCGGACCTTTCCTCTTCCACAGACTTGCATTTTGTTTTTCTGCTGCCGTGTGCTGTATAAACAGTCGCCACATGAGGCTTTTTACCAGCAGTTTCATTAAGTGTGTCTTTTAGGATGTGTGCGTACACACCCAGGAGAGGAGCGAGTTAAATTACCCCGGCTGAATTTTTGCGGGGAAGACTTGTTGACTTTGTAGTCTGAGAGAGAAGATTGAGATTTTCCCAGACGCTAAATGTTGGTCAGCTTTCTTAAACCTGGGATACGGGTTGTTAGATGTTCTTCTTTTCAAGCTGCCCTTGAACATTTTTTCAACTGAAACCACCGCTCTAACTACGAGTGATTGCTGTGAGACAAAAGAGATGCTTAACCTTAACCTTCCTGATGAATCTTTGTTTAAATCTCTGACATGCCCACACAGATTCAATCAATTTAGATTTCTCTCAGTAAACTATGAATCGATTGATTGCACAATCCTGCTTCTAAACTAACTGTATAAAATGTTAATAGTTTAGTTAAACAGCCAAGAGTTCAATAAAAATCATTCACATATAAAACCCAACCTCACAAAAGATAATCCCTCTTAAAGAAGTCATGAACACATTCAATGTAAAGGTCATTAAACTAAAAATGATGAGAGGAGAAACAAAATGTATAAAATGAACTATTGTTATAAATTTAATGATATATCTCCTACCTGTAAGCAATAAAAAGCATAGATGAAAAGATGAGTTTGTAATTTAATCTGCATCATCATAAAATGGAGGTAATCTCCATCGCTATGGAGCTTAAAAATAAAATGAGATTTTTCACATTTAAGCTATGATCGATCCATTGTTTTTCCTTTTCGTTTTATGAAAGCACATTACAAATGAGAGAAATAACTTGCTCGTATTATTTTATTTATCCATTCTTAGAGTTGAGCTTAGTTTAAAATGTAACTATATACAAGCTGAGAACCAGGCTTTAAAACAAGCCATCGGTTCCTAAGTCAAAACGTTTTCTGTTGGAGGAAACGGTTTATCAGTTTTAGTAAACATCTGGGAAGGACGGGTCAATTTAAACTACGGAAGCCCAAGAAGTTCATTGTTGAAATGGAAATTCAGAAATCTCTCGGCTTACATCTTTATAAACAGCAAATTTAAAGTAAAAACTAAACTGAGCTATCGCCCTGTCAGCATATTGTCCTTCTAAAGAAGCTTTGTAAATCCTTTATACACAAGCATGCCCATGCATACACACCATGGGAGTTTGGTTCCAGGTGTTCACGGATACACGCTAATACCAAGCTGCAGCTACAGATATATACCACCCTGAATAATATTGTGTAATCATCTTAGGTTTTACTTTCCACACACATGGTTATCTAAGGATACCCACTGCTTTGGAAGCTTTTTTCATGTTTACTTTGGTTGTACGTTATCTTCTTTTTGCTGTTATATTCTGGCGTCTCATACAGGTGTGGAATCAAACTGTAGGATTTACTGTTTATCTTATGCGTAGTCTATTTTTGCTGTTTTGTATTATTTTGTCTCTTTTCATGCACTCTTTCCTCTCTCTCTTATCCTTTCTTTCTTTATCGTCTCCATTTCCGCCTCCGTGTTCGTTTTATACAATTTTATTCCCTAAATAACTTTCAATAAAGCTTAATATACAAGTACCAATAAAGCTCTCGGATATCTAGTCTCAGACCTTCTCAGCTTTAAGTTAAACTATTTAAAATGTTTACAGTAAGTACTAATGTTTCAGCTGATAACTATTTTGCTAATGAAGTTTAATCTGCCAACTATTTTTTTAATGAACTGATTAGTGATGACAGGGCATAAAGATGCTGATTAGGAGATTTTCTGGTTTTAAAGCCAGTGGCCTCTTTTCCTGTCCTTATACTGAACATAATGATTATTTGATTACTGAGTTAAATGACGACTAATTCAACCATTTAATCCCAAATAATTGAATTAATTGTTTCAGCCCTAGTAGGTATTAAGTAATCTAATAATGAAGCTAAAACACTTAGCTTTGCAGCTGTATGTTTGAGTCAGTCAGACTGTAAAGGAACATCTTGTTATCAAACATCGATCTTGTATATATCAGACTTTTATTCAGCTGCGTGTGAAAGAGAGAGCAGTAGTCTTTGACAGTTAAATCACATTTTACTATTCAAGGGCTGGGCAACATATGGCAGGTTTAGCCTTATCTTCACTTCATTAAGTCAGAGTTTTATTATTATGTACCGATCCTTCTGGCCATATGCTTTTTAGCCATTTTGGTGATGTTTGTTTAAAAGTTTTAGGTGCTAAAAAGTGTTGAGGTGGAAAAAATGATTATGTAATAGCTGCAAAGTTGTCTAAAGGTCAAAACTGCAGACATCAGCCAGAAGCAAAGTTTTCAACAGCACCTCATTGTTGAGGTGAGAGCAGAAAAACATGAATTTTTATTTTTTTTAATCCTGCAGCTCTAAATTTTACTTCAAAACAACAATAACTTTTTTCATGTTATCTGCTGATGTTTAGGTACCTGTTGTAGCAGCCTCAGTAGAAAATATATTTCCCTTTTTTTGTCTACTCACTAGTGTCT